TTAGACTCGCTTGAACTACTTTTTAAGATTAATGTTTTGACGTCTTAACACATTATTGATCATGCATTAACCAACTGGAGACCCAGTTTTTGTTTTATTTGATTTTTTTTTTATTATTATGCAAATTATGAATAATTCAACCCATTAACGACTTTGACTTAACGCATCGATGACCATATTTTAACCCATTAGTGGCCATTTTTTATAGAGTCTTTCCAAAGCTAAATTTATTAAAAAGAGGTAAGTTTAGGTTACAATATAATCAGGAAGAACAAGTCCTTTCGTTTGAACTTTGAACTAAGTTAAAAGCGGGAAAATGTAATAACAGTAATGTGTATTTGTTGTAATCATTGGGAAATAACATAAAACAGAGCAAGTCATTTATATAGAGATCAATAAGATAGTAAAAGATAGGAAATAGATACAAAAATATACGTTTCTATGTAAAATATAATGGGATATGTGCATGGTCAAAACGTAGTTGAAAGTAAAAATAATTTTAGCATTCTGACAACACTTTTTCAGAAAAATTTGTCAAAAGAGTCGAAATTATTTTCAGTGTCGTCTTTGGTTCGACTATGATATGCCCTATTATGTTTTAAATTTAAAGAGATTTACAAATTAAGCCTAAAAAATATCGGAAAGCAAATCATGTACCTAACTAAAATATTATTTATTAATAAAAAAAAAAATCTGCTGTATTTTCATAAAAAAAATAATAAAAATAAAATAAATATGGAATAGGACGTACGTCTTACGACACCAAAAATCAACGGTATGTCCTAGTTACTTCAAACTGGCACTTTAATGGGCTACAAAAATATGAACACTTTTTTAAATATCTAATTAAAAACATCGATATTTTTACTAAGTTTTAAACTTAGATTTATTCGGTTTTTGTTAAGGAATGAACTATATTTTTATTAAAAAAATAATAATTAAAATTAAATATTAATAAAAAGTAGTTATGATAAGCACTATATAATGAAAAATGTGACACTTATTCCTCACAGTCTGTATATAAATCCTATCTACGCTATTTCTACTAAGTAACTCCATTGCTTTAGGAAAGAAAGATCTCCGGTTTTTGACCACTAGCAATAAGCTATTAAAGACGTCTTCTAAATTGCCAGCGCGACTCGTTTTCTTACTATAGATCTCTCTAAAGTCTTTAAAGTTTTTGTTAGAACTAAACCGCTTCTCACGGTTTTAAGGTCCTTGTTAGTAATAAATCCGCTTTTTATTCATTGATCAACCTTAAAGTAATAAAAAGTTTAAGTTCGAAATGAAACAGAATCAAAATGAACCAGGATTATATGTTTTTGTGTTTAATTAATTAATTTGTTTTGACCTCGGATTCTACATCTCAAATTTAAAAGCGTTTTGCGCATTTAAAAAATAAATGATTTTGAAAATTACACTGGCAAAAAATAGAGGTGAGTTTAGTTTTATTTAGCTTAATTTTTTTAAAACATATTAATCCAAAAAAAATACACCAAAAAGTAAACAAACTTCTTCATAAGTAGTGGAAAAACAAAATAACGAAACATAATACCGCTTTCTTCAAGTTTGGACACACATATCTCCCAACCGAAAAATGATAGAAAGCTGTACATGAGGATGGCTTTGCATATCTCGTTGGTAGAAAAGGTTCTTTTAACTCGGAGTTACAGTTGTAAAGTTGTTTAAATATTACATACTTATATTACATTGTATCTCGAAACGTTGCTATCCATAACATTAACGAAATTAAAAACAGCGTAGCAAAAAAAAAAAAATTGTGATAGGGTAACAATGCATTATTTTAAATATAGGAGTGGTTGGGTCAACTTGAAGTGGCTGCCAGTGACTACACTAGCACACCTAGGCAACGTAGAGTGTGGACCCGTTGAGATACCAAGGGGGTCGTTAGAACCCTCCTACTCAAGTCGTCGTCGTGCGGATTCCGCGAGTACCAGAAGTTGCCGTATGCCTACCTCGACTATGTCAGTTAGGTATTCGAAAAATCCTGAACTCCTGAACTTGCGTCTTATTCTAAAAAATGTTCCGGGCATTCGCATAGCAGTTACTTCAAGGGTTTTAGGGCTCTTCTTTACGTCTGCAGCTTCTGCATAAGTCGTTTAGGAGGGACCCCTAACTCATCCGCGTGCCATTCGATGGTAACATGGCCTGCTAGCAGACCCACGGCTGCGGCGGAGATACTTTGACCATTTCTCGTCCCATTTTGGCGACGTAGATAAGTTTCGTATTGCTGCAAGTGGTGAGCTAGTTTAAGAGATAAGTCCCTCAAAATGACCTAAACTGCAAGAATGGTGCGGATGTGCCCGTTCGTCTTCCTTTTCGTTGCCTGGTATGTTCTGATGCCCTAGAACCCATACCAAATGAAGAGCTGACTACTCAGCCAACTCGTTTCAAGATCTGCGACCGTCCGCTACTTTTTTGACTGCATATGATCGCGTTAAGCGCTTTGAGTGCGGCCTGACTGTCTGAGTAGATAGAGATATTATTACACATGACTTCTCTTGTAGATTTTAGAGGAAAATCTAAACTACAAAATAAATGTACATTAGGGTGATCCAAATAAACTTATCTACCGAATTTATGGCCTTAAAATAAAGTATTTACTGAGAAGAAAATTCCCCAATTTGAAAAAATTGTTTATTCCAGTTTAAAAGTTGTCGGTGAGCATTTGAAATTTTCAATGTACATGAATAAAATGAACTTTTTTTTTCAATAAAAAAAATATTATGTAGTATATTGAACTCTTTGAGGTAAAAAAATTGTTGTAGGCATATTCTTGTAGGGCATTAAATTCTCGAAAATTTGCCCTCAATTTGGTTGTCTTGGAGAAGATTAAGAGTATTTAATATGTGAATCATATTGCTGAACGAGTTATAGCATTGATACAAAATTATAATCGAATCTTGACGAAAGACGGTGAACAAAAGCAATTTCTTTGCAAGTAGTTTAATTACAACGCCAGCAATATCCTAATTGCAATAAACTGAATTTTATTAATAAATAAAAAGAATACCAATATTTAAAAATGCAATAAAAAATAAATAAATGGACAAAAACTCTGTCTTCTATGACAAACCTAGTTTTTTAAATTTTACATGAATATTTGCAATAATAATGCTCTAAAACTGCATATTTCTGCTTTTTTTCGACTTTCACAGCCCGTAAGTATAAAAATTTTGAATGCTCACCCACACCCTTTAAAATTAGAATACCTACAAATTTTTCTAAATGGGAAATTTTTTTTTCAGTAAATAGGTTATTTTAAGGCCGTAAATTCGTTAGGTTAGATTATTTGGATCACCCTAATATACATAAAATAAAATTGTAACAGGCCCATGTCTGAACATTATAGATATAAGTAAAAGAAAAATTAATATGGTTGGTCGTTATTAGGGCTACAGAAGCCAAATCAATAATTTTTGTCAATTTTTGTCTGTCTGCCTATCTGTTTGCATGTCCGTATGTTTTTTATGTGCAGTGTTAATCGGTGTTTTGTTTGAGGTCTTACTTAAAATACAGAAAAAAAAATTAGAGGGTTGCCACCTGGTTAAAAATTTCAGTTTAAGTAAATTGATATGGTAAATATTGCAATATTGCTGTCAAAATATAGAGGTGTAAGAAGGTTTACAGCCGAAGATATTTTGGATGCAGGTTGCCACCTGCTTGAGAATTTAATTTAATTCATAAGATAAATTGAATATTGCAATACGGGTATCAAACTGAAAATGCTTAGAAAAGGTTTACTGCCGAAAATATTTTTAAGGAGGCTTGCCACCGGTTTGAAAAATTGTACTCAATTAAATTGATCAAATAAAATAAATATTACAATACGGGTATCAAACCGCACAAAAATACTTTAAAGGCGCAGTGAAGCACGCCGGGTATTCGCTAGTAAGTTATAAAGTTATTTAGTTCTCAATATTTACTTGTTTCATAGTACTTCTTTCAGAAGATCAAATCATGTTGCCTGGAACCATTTTACCTTGATTTATTTCAATTTAAAGAAATTAAATGTGTTTCTTTGTAAATATGTATAACTAAATTTCAACTTACTCAATTCAACAGCATAACCACGAAAATCAATGACCCCATTCGGTTGCTTGTGAGGCGTCTCAATGTTGCATTGCTTTTTCGCTTCAATGTTCCTTTAGCACTACGAGTATCCGTTACTGTGCACGTTAAGGAGTAATTTCACAAAATAAAACGGTAGTATGGTTGCTTGTTTTTATGGCGCGCACATTCACAGGTAAGTATGTAAGTACGTACGTAAGTATGTGAAGTGATTCCCTACAAATGACCACAGAATACGACACACTCGGGTGCACTTCAAGTCGTTGTTGGGTACAATAATTTATTTGACAGCTGAGCCGCTGTGCAGTTGTGTGCGGCAGTTAAGCCTTCCTTTCAACTAAAAATCAATGCAAAGTTTTTTCACTTTGATTTCGGCACACCAGGTACTCATTTACTTCACCGTACACTTTGGCAGACATGCACACTAATGTAAAGAACAATTTACAAAACAAAATAATTTGAGTTTACATTTAAGTTTGCTCCACATTCCATTGAGAAATTGTGTTGGAATACTCTCAAGCAATTTATTGATTATTTGCTTAGCTGTCTTTGACTTTGTTCTGTTTGCCATCCACTGATCACTAATCGTCGTCACTCGCCAATCCTCTGTTATTTGTATCACCTCAGGCTGTGGGCGTTTTCACATTAGCATAAGTATGCAAGTATGTATAAAGTAAGCGACGATCGAAGCCCAACGTAATGAAACTCAAACAAACTTTGCTGAGTTAATGCCGATAAATGCTCATCTTCGTTAGCAAATACATTCAGAGGCTTAAGCGCCTTAAAGTATGTTTGCATAAACAGCCGCGGAAAATTTGAATTTCAAATGCGAACAAGTCTGCACCACACCGGCATGCGAAAATGTTACACAAGTTTTACACGCTTTTCAATGTATGCAAAATAAATATTTTCTCAAGAGAACTCACTTCTGCATATATTTACTTACTTATACAAAGTAACTTCTCTTTAAACACCTGTCTTTGCAGACCACTTACTTTCGAATTTTTGTTAGTATTTTTCTAAATAAATCGCCACTTCTACGTACGCCTAAGCGCCCGAAAGTGTGCTTCGCTTTAATGTATAGGTATCTTATTAAATAGTCAAATCAAGCGCCCCACAACTATCGAACACGTGTTAGTGAAAATCTAGTCAACATTTTTTGATGAAACAATGCAACCAAGTACCAAGTACTGAGTTTTATGCAACGTGGCCTCTTTCGTTTTTAGAAATAACGTAATTTCTTTTGTTTTTTTTGAGCATTCACTTTTTCTCAATAAAATAAAAAAAAACTTGCTGCTCATGCTATTTCCACACAACAAACTGTCTATACACCGTCAAAGTGTCTCCGCGAAAAACGTGTCAACATTGCCGAATAGTTCACTTCAAACTAAACGTTTTTGCTTTTGCTCCTTCAAACCAACCGAAATTCCAACTAGACGACCGACATCGCCGCTTCGTATGAACGAGGCGCGAATGTTCGCTCGCGCTAGCAACAACGGTACAATCACCACCATCGTATTTCGTGCTAGTCGTTTGCCGAGTTTTCGCCGCCGAGTCTCGCGCTGATATACTCGCGAATTCGCCCAATTGTGTGGTGCTCACTGCTTACTGATTAGACTCGGCAATGTTGCAGTGGCTCAAAAAAAGTCTGTGTCTGTATGGCGAGTCAATGCCTTTTTTACAGGTACAACAACAACAACTACAACGGTTATTGTAAAGCCAAAAGCATGCACGTATCTGGTGAACTGATAAGTAGAACATGCAGTCCAGGAGTTCGCGGCGAGTTCGTCTGACAGATGGAAATGGCACGCTCTGAGTACCTGCTGCAAAGACTGTCCATAATTTTTTGAAAATATTTAGGGACTACATACATATGTACATACATAGGTGGGAGAAAGTGAATAAGCATGTATGTAAATATTTGCGAATTTAATTGTTAAAAGTTAAAATAGTTAATAAAACAACATGTTTAGTAGCATTTGCTCATCGGAGAAAGATAAATACTAGCTATACTTCAGCAGCCAGTGTAACTGAAATTTAATAATTCCTGTCTAGTTTTGATTTAAGTGTACGTTAATAATGGAAAGCTGTCGTGCTCACACACTTCCCTTGATTATAAGCATGTAGGGCAGCCAAAGCTATGACTCCACCATTGCCCTGATATGGGTTTCCAGTAGGTGTGTGTTTTAGAAAGAAGGACGAGATGTTTCTCGGTAAAAAATGGTCAAGTGTATTATGCGAGGAAATACATATAAGCATCTGCACCCATTTCTGTGTTGTATAAAGGTGAGGCTAACAGCTCCATAAATGATCTACAGTCTTGGAATGAAAAATTAGGTTTAATATTTTCCGAAGACCGAGTGGTAGGATGCCATCACATCCAGGTGATTTTAAGGGTGCGAAGCTGAAAATAAATTTCTCAAAGCTTCCATTAAGTATAGTTTGACCCTTTCTTTACCTTAACGTTGAGACATTCAGGGAAGTGAGTGGGCATGAGAAGTTCAACAAAATTCAATAAAATTTATTTTATTTCAAATTTTTTGCAAAAAAATTGTTTACCCAAAATGTATAGTTTTCACAAAAAAGCACCGAAAAATTTCTAACGGGTCAGCAATTTTTTAATCTCTATCATGAGTGTGACATGAGGTAAGAATTCTAAGAAAACCTGTGACGCTAAGAAAAAATTGCATGTTTCAACTCGCATAACTCGACAAAACATCGCGGTAGAAAAAAATTATTTCAAGCATCGGTTACTAGTAACCACAGCAACAACGTGCAGAATGCTGATATACATTTTTTTTCTCGGTGCACTTGGCTAATTTTGACCCATACCTACATGCATTAGGCACGGTGCACATTACAGCGATACGATACGCGACTAATTATATCAAGCATATTTTTTTAGGCTTTGTAACAATTTACTTATCGCACACCTAGATCTAAACAGCGATCAACTCAAAAAAAAAAAGAAAAATTCTGGCATTTTTTTGCATAAATCAATTCGTACCACTTACCTCCTATTGATGCAAATATTTCTTTCTTCATGATTATTTACTAGAGATGTAACGGATATCCGGTACCCTATATTAAGTAAAAGAAAAATAAATTCTCAAAATAAATGTATCGGCATTTTTTATTTAAATGCCTTTGAATGGAAACAATAACATCTTGGAATCGGCTGACCAGAGAAACAGCCACATAGAATTGCGTAAATACGGGGCTAGGTAAATATTAGCCAATTTTGACAAAGGTTTGGCATTGGGCTTTTTTTATTGTAATAGTGAGAGCTTCTTTTAAAGGCAACTGTAAAATCAATAGCTTTAGCATAAACTCAAAATAAAAGCTTATTTTGCAGAGCAAGATGGGAATGTTTTGGTCTTCAAAAATACATATATGTATTTATTTTGGTGACAACGAGACAATGTTATCCGGTGATATTATGTTTTGGCGATTTTTTCCCTTCAAATAAATTTTTTCCAATTATAAAAATATATTTACAAAACTTAGTTTCCACGATAATTTTACAGAAGAGGCTAATGAACTGTGTGATAAACTTGACTTAAGAAGCATATTAAAAGACTGTCAAAAATGTTTAATCACCATAACAGAAGAACTTTTGAAATGATTACCTAGTCAAAAAAGGTTTGATTTTTTCACCAGAAAAGTGTGTGAATCACAATGACAATTCACTATTTGACTTTGAAGGAAAGAAAAGCAGCGGAAACTAAATATTTAAATCTTTAAATTTCCCACGGAATAACTTTTTTCAGAACCATTCCATCCGACTCTGAAACCGCAACAGGCAATAAAATAAAATAAAATGTTTGGAAATATAAGTAAATTCATATTATTATCCTTGCCGCACTTACAAGCTTTGTTGAATGTGTTTTTTTCCGAAATGAATTCAACAAAAACTAAGATTCGATATAGGATGAGGTTGGAAAGCCTTAATTCCCAATAGTTCGAATAAAGTGTTATATGAAGGCTAATAGTTTCTGCTGCCAAACGTTTCCAATATCAAACAGTATGCAATCAAGGTTGAATAGGTCAATATATGACAACAACACAAATGTAAATGATTCATGCACTATAGGCGATTTTGAAAAAATTGTGGAAATAGCTGATCGCGCCTTATCTATTATAAGTTTTTATTTTATTTTTAGCGCCAGCTCTTAAAAGCGGATCGTCCGATTAATCAGTTAATGTGAGTTTAATAATTGAGCAGTCCTATTGCAAAATGTGTTGAAACAAATATTTTTAAAAAGTATGCATATTTTTAAAGAAAATTGTTTACAAATCACTATTATATAAGCGATTTGCGTTATTTATTATTACCCTCTGAAGGTATTGTATTCGTTTTTGGTTTTAGATCTATATTATACCAAGATGTCATTTTTAAAATTAAAGGTTTGTTAAATCGATTTCATGAATTTTATTTAAAAAAATTTTGCGATTTTTGGCGACTTTTTTTAAGAAATTGCGTTTTTTTAACAATCTGGACACCCTGAGTCTCTGCGTCCTTTTCGGAGAGCGACTTCGTCTGAAAGTATTTGACAATATTTATTTCAACTCTTTAAATTTCTAATTAGATACTTTTCCATAAGTAAACCTTTAGGTAAAGCATGGAAAATTATAACAAAATATTTGCTATCAATTCGCCGTAAATAATCTCGCAAGCCGATTTACTATTTTCCGAGCTCTTTTCATACAACCTCTACGCTACGCCACTCTCTTTCACATGCTCTAGCTCTCAACGGTGATTGGCAGCGCAAGCGCTAACTACCCCTGCAATTCGCCTTAACTACCCCTTATCGAACAAACGACCAAACTCCTAAAATATGGTGAGTTTTGAAATGCCTGAGTGATTTCGCTTTCGCTCAAATATTTGTGCAACATAACGACAATGTTGCGCAACATTTAGTATCCTTTGAAGCGTAAAACGAAACATATGCATATGGGAAATCGTTTGTGATGTGAAAGCATGTACATATGTACATGCGCGTATCTATAGAGACTTGGAGTTACAAAATATTTTCTGTGTCATTCGCTGTATGATAGCGAAAGTGAACGCTACTTGCGGCGAATCGTGGGAAATCAAGCGGAAGCCTGTAGGGTTTTGGCAACCCAATTCTTTCGTGCAGCCTATGGGCGAAATTTGTTTGTAGATTCTCCTGCAAACATTTATTTTGTTCTACTAAATTGAAAGAGGGATAAATGGTTGATATTTATCTTTCGTTATGCTGAAATAATAAAAAAAATTTGAAATTATGAAAATATAATGAAAAATTTTTTTAGCTTTGTTATTCTTAATAATTGTGTTTTTTTTTAATGACCATTACTTTATAATTTTTTTATTTATCCTTTTGAGATTGATGCACACTGGTAATATTTTGCTGCTGGAACAGGATGAAATATTTGTTAAGTTCTTGAAAATATTTTTGGAGGAATAAATATATGCATATGGATGTGTTCACATGTATAGTAGTATGTACATACATAATATATGTGTGAGCATCCAAATTTTTTTTACTGCAATAAGACAAATTTAGCTGACAGCCAGACGAAAATCTTAAAAATAAAAATCAACAATCTTGATTCGGCGAAACTTTGTTAGATTGAAAAGTGTCAAGGCGCTAGGTAAGCCATAATCCACGACAGACACAGTTAATAGCAACAACAAATCATATTTCATGCTTAAGGAGAATAATGCGAGGTGCAAAAAAAATGAAAGTAGACAGACAGACAAATGGGCGAGGGAAGTATTTATGAAAGGTGATTTTTTTTGTTTATTAAATAGGCTTTGACAGCAGGAGGTATGTATGCACATACATATGTACACACCATTGTGTGTGCAGTAATTATTTGAAAAATTATGCGTCACAAACTAGACGAAAATAATAGAAATAATGAAAATGCTAATGAAAATAATAGCAGAAAGGAAGTGCAACGTCATCACAAATGCATACAAATTATTTATGTTAAAATATATTAGGCAATTTCTTTCGCTTTTTAAGTCAGCTATGTGTATGGGGTGTGTTTTATGATTTATTAATGCGCAAGTTTAATTTGGAAAATATAATCAGATTAGAGTGACTAGTATGAAAGCGCACATACAGCCATTCATAAACGGCAGGACAATAGCAGACAAGCGTGAAAGCAAAGAAATTTGTGGCAAGGTAATGAACGAAGTCAAATGAGAGAAATGGGAAATAAAAGAGAGTACATATTTTATTTTATTTATTTTTTTACTTTTAGTTTTACTTATACCAGTGTCAGCAATGTGTGAAAATGTTGATAAAAAAAACTCGTTATAAAGGTGGCAAGAAAATGGAAAGTAGTTAAGCTAGAGGAAGCCGTGTATACTACAAAA